ACTTCCTAACAGTGTTGTAGTTTTAAGTGTGTGCTTCACATGGTCTCTGTACAGAATTACAATATCTGAAAGTATAAACATTATTTGGCCAGTATATTTGTCCATACTGAAATCATATGAATATTTATATCTTAGAGCTTAATATTTTGCCAGCAACATCACCCAACTATATTAAATTAATGGGCTATTTTATGTGTCTCTTTTTGCTAAATTTATACATTAGCAAACCATAAAGTCTGATTTTTTTTGGTTTAGCAATTCCACGGGTTTCTGTCATTTAATAGTTGCACAGTGGTGAACTAATCCATATGACTTCAACAGTCAGATCCTTTTCTTTTTAGTGAAAGTGAGCAATTTGTCATCAAATGAAACAATACTTGGTCTTTGGATAGATATAAGCCATAAAACATACATTCTCTCTTCAAACTTATGCCTGCAATTTTATCTTCTGCTGTCTGCATTTACTAAATGTGTTTACTAATTTTGCAAGTAATAGTAATGAAGATATTACAACTTTCCATAAGTTCAGTAAATACTTTATTAAAAATAGTCTGTTCATATAGATGTTGATGAGTTTTCCTATTTTATATTAAATGCTCAAATAGTAATGATAAATTTTTTTATTTTTGTAGATTTATTCATCTCTGATGAATAACAGAAATTAAGATTAAATATTTACCATAATGCATACATTGGTTGTGTAATGCATGAACAAATTTTCAGACATGTAGAACTATTACAGATGGTTACATTGTATATATTTTTGAAGCTAGGACTTCACATTTTCAATTCTAGCCTACAGATATAATTTCTATTAATTGTAATACATCGTAACTATATTGTCCATTTAGTTTTCATGAAGTGTTATTATTCTAATAGTGTTTCAGACTGGAGATTTCTTCATGTACTATTTCCTGGAATTGCACTGAAAACTGTGTGCTGTATATAGTACATTAGCAGTTTCAGTGCTGAAAAAATTCCAAGTACATCCAGAATAATTGTTTTCTACCATTTCCTATTGCATGAATTCAGGTATGCATCCAGATAGAGTACCTTTGTGGGACTTGATGGCTATCTCCTGAGCCTCGTGAAAAGATCACATCCTTTGAATTTTATGGAGATTTGTGTTTGTTCCTGCACCCCACCCAGCAGGAGCTATTTTTATAAAGATCTAGGAAAAAAATGCAAAGTTTTGGGTTTTTTTATAATATATACTTTTTTGCTTGTGGGGATTGATAATCAGTCACAGGAGGTACAATAGCTGGTGAAGAGGGTTTTGTGTTGTTCGGTTTTGGTTGTGGGGCTTTTTTTAATGAGGAAAGACTCTATTTATTTATCATACATTCTCCTTAAGGTTTACTTCTGTCAAGAACAATTTTTTTTTTCCTTTCAAAACTTAGGTTCAAACAAACATCTAAATTATGAGGAATGCATAAATATAAGAGGCATCTTCCTGCTGTTCATGCAGCTAGTGAAAGAATGAGGTTAACACTTAGGATCTTACAAGAAACAGTAAATACATGCTTTTATAACATTTTGGTTTTCTGTCCATCTGCTCATGAATATAATGAGAAAGGAAAATTGGTGCTGTCCGTTGTAATGTTGTAATGTAACATTGTACAATTACACAGTTGTAACCGTAACTACTGACTGACACATACACAATTTGTGGAAATAGTCACTTTCGGGGTCTGATACTTTTCCCAGGCTTGGTCCCTACTGAAGATTTATTTATTTATTTGTAAAAGCTTATGTGAGATGTGTATGGTTTCAAAGAACTGGCAGCACCCCTGGAGTGCTGCAAAGGCTTTGATGTTACAAAGGCAGCTGAGTCAATTCAGGGGTAAGAGCTAGATTGTGCCCCCACATCCCATCCCAAAACTCTGTGTGGTCAGCTAGCTGTCTTTTCAGCAACTGGCCAGTGGTATTTCTTTCAGGTTAGTGGGCCAGAAAGCAGAGTCAACCTTTCAGACTACTCTCTGAGCATAAATGCTGTGATTGTTCACTATTTCTAAGACCTGTGCATGGACCCAGTGTGCTTGAACAAATCCAAGCACAGCCTGTAAGAAAAGCTCTGGTGGTGGTGGTCAGATGAAGGAAATGTAAAGTTGACATTTCATGCTGAATCTTTGCTTCGACAACACCACCAGGATGTACTGTGTTCTTACCCTGCCCTCTCCTCAAGTGCACTGATAATGCACACAGCTGGAATTTTAAAGTCAGTTAAATAAAATCCTCAGCATTTCATTCTCCTGGGTTCTCTTAATATATACTAAATGTACAGAATAAAGCATGCTATTTGTGGATATCAGCTGAGGTGAGTGCTGTTGGGAGCTTGAAATTTGGATTTCCTGATTTGATGATCAGCTGTGTACAAATTTGCTTTTAATAGTAATTTGATCAAACAGTTCTTTCTATAGCAAGGCGTACATATTAAAAGACTGTATGAAATGTTTTTATTACAGTCGCAGCAAATAAATCCTTTCAGGGGAAATGTTTGAGGAAGTGGGCATACAATTAGCCCTTGTAAATAATATGCCCTAAAATATGTGAAATAGATTGGAACGATTAATATTTGATGTCTTCAATCTAACACAAGTCTTACTGCATTTTGAAGATAAAGGCTTCTCAATACTATTAATTTTCATCTTTAAAATCTTCAAGTGTAACCTCTGTATTTTTCAGTTAAATCTGATTTATTTTAGAAAAACCAGCATTAAAGTCTTTTGGTAATTTTCTTTCTTCTATTGGTTGCCCTTGATGTGTGCCAGTTCCAGAGAGTTCCGTGTCAGATCAGCTAAGATGTGCGGGTAATATGAGCTTGATCTGAAGGGGTTGTTATTTTTCATTATAGTGCATTCTTTAATTTGCTAACCTTTCATGTGCTAACCTTGCAAGCACTTTTGTAGTTTCACAGTTGTGCAGGTTTTTAATTCATTAAAATGAATGTTTGCAGTCCTAGTAGTACCCAGATTGCAACACTGCTCTGTACATCAGTGATTGCAAGGTGTTCTGTGTTCTTAGGCCGGTCCCATTTTAAGACACTGATCGTGGCCTCTAAGTTTCCCAAGACCCATCAGCAAGTGGTGCTTTTACTGAATGCCAAATCTGACACCATGTAATAAAACTGTACAGTGATTGGGTTTTCTGTTTCACATGACATCAAGATGCCTGGCAGACAGATACTCATAGAAAAGCATTCTTCTCAGATGGAAGTATAAAGTATCAGGTGCCAACTTACGTACAGGAAGGGCCATCGGATATATTCAATGAGTTGTTGGTTCCTCCAAAATGTGCAATATAACTCTGCTTTGATACTGTGATCAACAATATTATTTAGCAGCTGTTTGACTTTCATTATTATGTGTTGTGTCATTCATAAACCTAAGTTCACAGAAGAATAGAAAATAAAGCGTATTTTTTGGATTGTGCTTGAGTCTTTTTGGCCTGCTTCATCCATGGCAGTTGCTGTCTTTATAACTTGCTGAATCCAGGAGAGCAGCCCAGGAATTAACAATCCAAGTTGAATTATTTATTGATGGAGATCTCAAAATGCAGATTGGGAATGACGTGTCCAAGAATAGCAGAGGACAGTGGCACAGAGCCACTGAGCTATGACGTCTCACGTTAGCATGGGCTTCACGCTTCTTAAGTGCTTCATCTAGCTAATCGATCAGAGGTGCTAAGGCAATTCACTCTGACTTTTATGTAGTGCTCTGTGAATACGCCATTAAACTGGCTTCATAAACCCTTGTAAATCAGGTGAAGACTCTTACTTTGGCTGCACGTCTGCCAAGCACATACGTTATTGCATTTAATTCTGAAGTTTAATTCTTATTTATTAAGAATTAAAATTGCGGTTTAATTCTTAATAATTTCACAGCAGGTTTGTGCAGGACTGGAGGAAGGAATCCACTCAAGTAATTTCTTTCACTGTTCCAGTTACACCTCCTCACTGACTACAGTTTCACATTCAGACTTCTCATATAAACCAGATATACGCAGCAACCTCTCCTCTGTGTAATGTGCTCATGTTGATCATCTGTATGAAAAATCCCAAGCATGCAATAATATGAAGCATTTATTTTTGTTCTCATCTTACCATTAACACTAGTCTCATTATAAATTTTCCAGACTTTGACAAGAGATACAGGCACGTTATATGCAATAACTTGGCAGCTCAAAGGCAATCTCGCTCCTCTAAGAAATACAAGCTTGCCTTTTTTTAATTTTAGTATGCATGCCATGGTGTGTATACATGTTGTATGCACTGCCTTTATGCACATTACAGCTAAAGGAGATGACTTTAATTGCTGAGCCACTGTCCTTCCCAGTATATACAGAGAAGAAAATTTGTTTCACATGTTTTATTATAATGAGCAAGCGTTACAGACTGCACAGCATTCATGGAGGACTTCTTTATTTGGTTTTGTGCAGACAAAAAAGTTTACATGAAACAGTTCGCTCTGAGTTCTGGTACATTTGTGTCATTTCATGCATCTGGGAGAAAAGGCAGTTGGTATCTGTGCAGCACAGGAGGGGAAAAGGGGTCGTAAAGTAGTTTAAACTCTGAATTGGATAAGTTTGTAAAGCTCTCTTATACAAACTGATGAGAACTATATATCACAAAGGCTGTCAGGGTGTGTATTTGTGCTGCAAGACTGTAATGATTTATAATATCCTTTAAAATTTGTGTCTGATGGCTAGTTTTACAAATATAAGAATTTAAGATTATGGTGATAAATAATACCATCAAGTGTTTTATTATAGGTAAACTGTCTGACCTGTAACAAAATAGTCTAAACTCTGTTTTGAGAATTGTATTGATCAAGTACAGCAAATTCATTGTATAGTTTACCCAACAGTTTCTGATAAACCTGAAAAAGTCATACACTCATACTATAATTCTGGGGTTTTTTTTCTGAAGACAAGGAGTAGTTCTACTTTGACTGGAAATGCAACCCATTGGTTAATTAACTTCCTTGTTTCCTCAAATCCAGGTCTGCAGACTTCAGCGTCACCTATCCACAGGAAAATACCAGCAGAATCTCTTTTCAAACCAGCCTGTCATGTTTGTATCTCCTACCAGTCAGCCACCCTGCGAAAAGCTAATTGAACTTATACAGCTGTCAGGAGGGAAAGTATGTAACGCCCTACGTCAGGCAAAAATCTGTATAGGAAAAAAACCAGGGAAGAAGTACCAGGAAATAAAATGTTTATCAGAAAAATGGGTATTAGGTAAGACACTGAATTTCAATTCTCATAATATATTCTGCAATATGTATTAAAAAATTTACTGCAAATAGTTCACTAAACTGAGGCTATGGAGGAAAGAAAATGGAACAGACTGATGCAGTTAGGTTTTTAGGAAGGTTGTCTCCATGGTGAGGACTTTCTCTTACTACTAAGACTGTTTTATGATGGTCCTGGTACTCACTGTTGTAATTTTACCATGAACTAACTTCATCCAGAGATTTTCAAACTTTTTGCATGATTGTTTTATATAGAGCAAACTAAATCATGGGGAGTACCCCTCAGGACAATTGCTTTTTAAATGGCACGCATTTCAATTTTAGATGCGGTAAGAAAGATTTTTAACTGGTATCAACTGGCATAGCACTCCTGAAATACGTGAATTGGCACCCTTAGATCATCTGTCCTGAATTATCTGCAGTACACCTGAAAGACAATTTTCTGCAGTCTCTATTTCACTTGCAAAAAGTTTCTTTTTAAGATCTGCTGTTAAGTTTCTAAACTTGTTAGTCCATCACTTTACTGCTACAGACACCACAGTTCTAAGTTATCTATTTGCAGGAAATCAGATATAAAATTGCAGTATCCTCACCCTCACATAAAAGCTTTTGATAATCTATGTAGGATTCACAGCCTTCAGTCCAACGCTTTTTCAGACAAGGAAAGGGTATTTTCCAAAAAGGGACCTTTTACATGTTAAAAAAAAAATATATATATATATATTAAATATTCATCACACACTATGTTAAACTCCCTAAATAGTGCCTCACTCAGACTCCAGCAATAACTGTATGGCATGAATTGACGCTATATGAGACTAGCCAAGCAAGTCGTAATCTCTTGACTTGTTAATGCAATCATATCATAATGACTTAAAACCTGAAAGACAATACCACTAAATAAGAAAGGTGAACCATAAGGGGAAAATACTCATCTAAATGCAAATGTTGATACTATGAGAAAGTATAAGATAAAATTGTGAAAATTTGAGAGAGGCATAAGAAGTCATTGTTTATTGTGCCTTTCTCTGGCTTCAGAGATGACTTGAAGAGCAAGTGTGGCCAAAAAGCAAGTGAAACCAGAGATCTGTGCAAGACTAATAATATGATGTAGTAAATTAAATACAAAAGTTTCACATAGTAGTACTCCAGTCATAAATTCCAAATGGACAAAGGTAATGATCTAAAGTGGCTCGCAGTCCACATGACACATACACTGTTTTACTGGTCTCATGGAGCTTTGCCTCACCCAGGTCCAGTATCTCATGAGCTATGTGCAGCTGGACCATCACGCTCAGCCCATCAGTGGGCTGAAGGAATTGCATATCTGGCTGCTAATGAAAAATACCTCTGAATTCTTTGTGCCCTTTACAAATTTCTCAGTTCTTTTTTGCAGTCTGATGGTGCCTTTTCTAATTATTATGTCCTGTTCATGAGGCACAGTTATGCAAGCTCCAGCTAATGGATTTTAAATGATGAATCATCAAAACTCAGAAAAAAGGGATTTCTACATGATACTTTAAAGGAAGGATACAGGCCTCTGAAGTTCAGTCCCTTTCTCAGCAACTGTTTACATGATAGTATGTCACTTGTAAATTGCCATCTTGATAAAATAAATCAAATCAGATCTGAAGTGCTTTCTAATCTTTGACACTTCACCATTGCAAGCCGGTTGGTTTGTGGCTATCTGCTTTCTACTCTTAATACCAGCTGCCAATTAATTCAGCCAAAGTTGACCACAATAAAAAGCGTATACGTAGATAATGCAGCACCTTTTTTAAACTAAAGTAAATGGTAAGTGCTTTCAGTATTATCATTTGACTGTTTGCATTTATTTTCTGTCTCGGTTTTCAGCTCCACAAACTGTTTTATACCAAAAATTGCTCTAAAGTACATCGTGCTTTATAATCTCTTTCTCTTGTATTTTATCATAAAAAATCCCACTTTTTTATTTCTTTTAGATTCAATCACTCAGCATACAATATGTCCCATGGAAAACTACATTTTTCAGCTGTGAGCTAACTCAAGAGTTTCCATATGGTTGCAGGAAAACAAGCCTAGTTTGGATTCAACAACAAAAAAATCAGCTGTGAATAAAACTTCTAAGAAAATGCAAATTACATATTTATAAATACAAGCAAATGTTTTCTATATTTTTAATACTTGTGTAAGTGCGTCTACGTGTTCATCTTGTTAAATCTGTAGGTTTTTACAATAAAGTAGTTCACTAATAAAAATTATCTTGACCTCACTTTTATTTATTTATTGGAAGACCCTTGGACCTAAAAGTTGAATGAATCATTATTCACTGGGAGAACATGGAAAGATGTTTTCTAATCTCTCAGCAAAGTTGATCATGTTACAGTGCAATTAAAAGATGTGTGTTCAGTGTGGGTGAGAGTACCCGAACTAGATCTGGTGTAGGCAGCAGGAGCTGTGTAGATGCATGGATCCTGTAGGCTCCTCTAGTACAAATGCCTCAGTAAATTTCCAGACGACACTAAGTTGGGTGAGAGAGTTGATCAGCTGAAGGATAGGAAACCTCAGCAGAGGGAGCTGGACAGGCTGGATCTATGGGCTGTGGCCAAGGGTATGAGGTTCAACAAGGGGAAGTTCCAGGTCCTGCATTTGGGCCACCACAACCCCATGCAGTGTTACAGGCTTGGGAAAGAGTGGCTGGAAAGCTGCTTGTCAGAAAGGGACCTGGTGGTGCTGATCGATGGCTGCTGAACATGAGCCAGCTTCTGCCCAGGCAGCCAAGAAGGCCAGCGGCATCCTGGCCCGTATCAGCAATAGCGTGGACAGCAGGGCCAGGGCAGTGATCGTCCCCTGTACTCGGCACTGGTGAGGACACACCTCAAGTACTGTGTTCAGTTCTGGGATCCTCTCTACAATAAAGACATTGAGGTGCTGGAGCAGGTCCAGAGAAGGGCAACAAAACCAGTGAAGGGTTTGGAGAACAAGTCTGATGAGGAATGGATGAGGCAATGGGAGTCATTTAGTCTGGAGAAGAGGAAGCTCAGGAGGGACCTTATCACTCTCTACAACTACCCGAAAGGAGACTGTAGTGAGGTGGGGGTTGGTGTCTTCTCCCAAGTAACAAGTGATAGGACAAGAGGTAACAGCCTCAAGCTGTGCCAAGGGAGGTTGAGATTAGATATTAGGAAAAATCTCTTCACTGGGAAGGTGCTCAGGCATTGGAACAGGTTTCCCAGGGAAGTGGTGGAATCACCATCCCTGGAAGTGTTAAAAGATGAGGCCCTCAGTGACATGCTTTAGTGGTGGTCTTGGCAGTCCTAGGGTAATGGTTGGACTTGATGACCTTAAAGGTCTTTTCCAACCTAGTTGATTCTATGATTCTGTTATTTCAAGTTCATACTACTGGAAAACCAAGATACAGTGGTGTATAAATGTTGCCATTCTATTGCATTCTTCTAACTTTCTGGGCTTTTTAAGGGATTTGGATGTACAAGTTCTGCTTTTTTTCCAAAACAAGTTCAGCAGTATCTGGGTGGAAGGCTGGTCTGGGTACAAATTGCATTTGTACAGTTGCTCTGTAAAATGTTAAACATACTTCTTAATGAAAAATCTCCAATCTCAAAATGGATATTAAACTGACTTTATTTTCAGAAATACTGAGCACTTGTAGCTCAAAAGGTTAAGATCCTGTTTTCAAGTATCTTAGTGATATAAAGATGGGTTTAGTATATAAACTAGAAAAAGTAATTTATTGAGGTCTTTTCCTTGCTTACTTTTCTGATACGCACATTTTCAACAGAATCTTAGCTAAGGAAAGTATGTCTGATGTAAAAACTGGAAATCTACAAATCTACAAATTGTACTGTTTATAATCAAAACTCTTTCCCTATTTACTGCAAAGCACTGGTATCAGGGTATCGCTCTTCACAACTGGCCTTATAAGACCCTTTATTAAGAAACTGGTTGCCAAGTACTATAGACTAAAATATAAATACTGAAATAGGTTGTGACGTGAACATATGGTTTCCAGTAAATAACAGAATAATTTGTTTGAATTACATTGCTTAACTTTGAATATTACGACCTCCTAGTTTGTAGTCGTTTCCTAAGTGTACTACCCATAAAAATCTGTCACTATTAATTTATGTAATATAACATTCCAATTCAGCTTTCTCATAAATCTTCTTAAGATAAATCTCAGCTATTTGGTGTCCATGCCCATGGCAAGTGGGTTGGAACTAGATGATCTTTAAGGTCCCTTCCAACCCAAACTATTCTATGATTCTATGATTTTATTTAAGTTGTAAATTCTTGGATCAATTGTTGTTTTCTGTTAGTCACATGTGTAACAGATTTGACAATTAAAAGTCTGATATACTTTTTTCTAAATCAGAATATTTCAGATAAAAAAACCTGTCAATTTAGACAACTTCATCTTAACTTAGATGGTTTGATAGAAATCCCCATCTATTGGCCGTTCTTGCAAAATCTGCAGTACACAGGTAAATATAGCCAGCAGGAAATTAAATACCTCATTTTGGTCTCATATAATGGGCAATAGGAGTGCTGTCCATCTGTACTGACTGTTGCTTCATAGTAGTACATAGCAAACACAGGAGAGGTTATAATTAAATCCAAGGACAAGCATGTTGCATAGGCAATAAAAAAGAAACACTATTTCATGTTTATATCTTGGAGTCCTTCACACAGCTTCTGATCTACGTAGCTGTGTGTGGGTCCTGAACCACCTCAGCACTGGAAGGAATGTGCATTTCTACCTGAGACCTCACCAGGAAAAGTCACCAACTCTGATCATCCCCTCAATAAATCTACATTGAAAACTTGTCAAATAACTGATGCACTGGAAGAAATCCACCAACTGAAAAAACACTTGTAATCGATACTGAGGTCTTAAGGACAGTAACAGAAGATACGGCAGAACACTCAGCAACATGAAGCATCAGTGATTCATCGGTAACTTCAAGCTGATCAGGGCTAACAGCTTTGCAAAGTAGTGTGTTTAATGGATATTTTGCCTTAGTACAGCACAGTCACGCACTCTTACTTCTACAAAATGGTATTATACTCACCTGGTCAAGAACCTAGTGGATTTATTTTTATTCTTTGAATCTATTTTTGTGGAGGAAAGGTTGTCCTAACCTTACCTTTATCTTCCTGCATTAATATTATTGCTGTTTATTTGTAAACATGACAGCTTAACTGCCATCTCTCCTCAGTAAGCTCCTGCACCCCTGCTAGAGGCTGTCTAACAAATCACATTAGAAAGATTAAGGAGCTTCCTAAGTTAGCCTGATTTTATTAGGAATCTGTTTAACCCAAAATAAATTGAAAAGCCAAAATAAGTATTATTCCTTCCTGAGATCTACATTAGCTGAGCTAATTTTTTAAAGTATTTTAACTCCCAGCACAGGTCCTACTTTAACTCATTTTACCTAGTGGTGTAGGTGATACCACTGGGATGCACAGACTGCGAATGTCCTTCCCCTCCTTCCTCTTCCAGAGATAAAAAGAGGTTTTACCACACTGATTAATTTACTGGGGAATCAAACTGAAAAATGCAGAAATACTGAGGACAAAAACAGGCATAACCTTGAAGACTGTGTTGCTTAATCTGTGTTAGAACAGCAGCAAAATTGGTGTCCCCTTCAAACAGTATATCCTTAAATTAGGATCTAAAGCAATTTCCTTATAGTGACTAATAATATCAGATTGGCTAAAGATGTGTTTGAAAGCAAGACTGCCAGAAACTCGTAAGGTGGGTGGATTACATATCTCTTTTTTCCCCTTTCTCCTTTTGTAATCAGTTTTAGATTGCAACTGCATTGGGGAAATGTGTATCTAGTGAGTAAAAGCCTCTAAATATCCACAGTGATCCTAGTACACAATCCATCTGGTATTCAACTACTAAACTACAGATTTATTGGGCTGGTTTTATGGATGTTTTCCTGACTCAACTACAGGCAACTTTGTGCAGATTGTTACTTTTTTTAATTAAAATAACTAGTACAAACTATTGCATCTCTTGAGTTTTTGTATAGAGTTCCACTATATTAAACTTGTGCGATCTTAATTGATCTGTATAGAACATAATTCAGGCATGACTGCATTATGTGGTAAAGTATTATCAGCATATTCAGCACTAGGAACCTGCTCACACACTTTCATTTTCTGGTGAAACCTATAATCATCTTAGGGAGTGTAAGGCAAAGGTGCTTTAAATTAGTATTTCTGAGCAGGATCAGTGGCTGTGTGGAGCTGTGTTTCTAACATTTCTAGAGCATAAAATGTAAGTATGGCAGGAACAATGTCTAGAAAACTGATTAAACTATTTTTTCCCTTGACAGCAACACACAACCCTGGAAAAAAATGGAATATTTGCTCAGACTGAAAACTGAAAAGCATGAAAAAGTCTGTCTGTGCCAAGAGTCTTCTTTAATGATAGATCTAATAAGAGAAAACCAAATGTCTGTGATCCTGTTGTATTAAACAGAGTTTTATTTCTGATCTCCTTTTATTGCTGTATTTCAGAATGGGCTTTTTGCATGGTAGACCAAATAGTGAGCTCTCAAAGAGCACCACATTTACTAACTACAGCATCGTGACACTAAGGTGGTTTAAAATTGCCAGTAGTAAATAACAGCTGCTGCTGAGGTTACCAGCACAAGTGTCTGCTAAGAGCTTTAGCTGGGAACTGGCCAAGGTGAGGTTTTCTTCTGCTGATAGCGATGTGAAACAACCCTCTTAGCACTCAAGAGCAGCTCAGACTCCTGCATAGGGCTGAGGTGTTGATAGGTAGAAGCCAGGTGTAATGTAGTGCTGCAAGTTTCTTTGAACTGCTGGAGTCAGCATGCTTCAGAGGCTGATTTGTGGCATAGTACTTCAAGATGTATTTTTCTCTCTCTGCCAAAACTGCTGTCCAAACCCAGACTTACAGTTTTTGTCTTGACTGCTGTTATCTTTCCCTCAGTCAACACTTGCAATATCAATTCCTCTCCTCCACCAAACTCCTGTTCCTAAGATTATTTGTACAGTTCTTTGACATCTTCCCTGTTTTAATCACTACTTGTTTCGTTCCTCCAGTTCATCAAAGAAAACCTTTCTTTCTCTTCTGAGCTCTCATCACTGTAGTCCCACCTTCCCTATCAGATCTGACATGTACCTACTTCTGATTCTCACTTTTGTTTCATTAAAGGATACCAGCATTAAGCATTAAATCTTGGGAGGAGTGAGTGGGATGGGATGGTTAATAACCCTTTT